AAGATGCAAAAAACCAAGGGCCAGAGAGGTGAAGCCACCAACTCTAGGTCACACAGCCAGTAAATGCAGAGCCAGATCCAAGCCCAGCTAAGCGTGACTCCAATGCCAGCACCTTTAACCACCTGACATTACTGCTCTATTATTGCTCAGTTCAAGTGGAGGCAACAGGCATTCACCAAGCACTTGCGGTGTGTCAAGGGCGGCAGTGGGACTGGAGGTGAGGGCAGCTGAGATACTGATCCTGGACCACAGGTGCTGTGCTGGGAAGGCAGACCCTCATACTGCTAAGCATGTGGCAGGCAGTGCATCATATATCCAACATCATTCATTCACTCATTCATTCATTCTCTGCTGTTGCCTGTCCCTGGGCTCTGGCTAGTGGGTCAGATATGGTCCTTCCCCTGAGAGCTCCTGACCCAGCAGGGGAACAGACAGTTAAACAGGCAGGTAACCATACAGAGATGCCATGAAGGGGAGTGGGGGAGAAGGGAAGGAAAGAAGGAATTTGATTTGGAAAGTCTGGGAGATGAAACTATTGGTGACAGTGGGTGTAGCAGACACAACCCTGCTCAGTGGAAGTTATGGCCAGAGAAAGAGATTGGGAAGAGTTTAGGTTTGGGGCAGATTGGCAGGGGCGGCGGTGAGATCTTGCTGGGAAGGTATCCAGGATGAAGAAGCTGGAGGCAGGATCTCTGAAGGTGATGTTGGGAAGGTCCTTCAGAGACACAGAGTAAGCAAAGGCCTGCACATCTGGAATGGACTGTTAGTGGCCTTGATCCAGTTACCAGGGAATCATTCCAGAGAGGGGACACATGCTTTCCAAACACTATCCTTGGGGGATGCTCCTCATGAGGTGGGAGGTCATCTGAGCTTGACTCTTGTCAATGAGAGAAACAGCTCATGGCTGTGCAGGATGAGGGTTGGGGCAAGGGCAAAGGGAATTTTTTTTCCAGTCTGAAAGCAGGATATATACACAAGCTGCTGTCCAGAGAGGGGACGAGCCTTCAGAGAAGAATCATACTCCCTCTGCACTTCCTGAGGAAGAGGCACCCGGGCGCTGCTGCTCTGCTCCCAGGCTTGTGTGGACATTCCCAAGCAAGTCATTCTGGCTCTGGTAGGTTATAGCCACACTCAGGAGGTGGGGTTGGGGTGGGGGTGGGAATGCCCAGGGACCACAGGGACAGACTGAACCCAGTGGCTTGGGGAGTGGGCACAGGTGCTGGGAACAGGGAGGTGCGAAGTCAGTGTAGAGCTTTCTCTCCAGCAATTGCCTCCAGCACCTGGAGAGTGAGGGGTCTTCTGACTTCTTCCCCTACTTGACTCTGGCTCTGAGAATCTGCTTTGCAGATTCCTAAAATCCCTGAGAGTTGGTTCTCCAACCTGGTTGGCTAGGGGAGCTCAAGCATTCCTTTCCTTCTCTGGACCTCAGTGTTCCCAGCTGTAAGAGAATGGGGCAGATGAGATAGTCTTTAAGGGCCTCTCACCCAGGGCCAAAGTTTCGCAGCTCTGTGGTCTCTTCTTTTGTACATGCCCACCCTCTCCCCATCCTCCTCCTTTTCCAAATTCTTGACCCCCTTCTTTCTGCCCAAAACTGTTCCAGATTCAAACTGTCCTTGGATCCCCTCCCATGCATCCCAGCCTGAGCCAAGTGTCATTTAATCAGTGAGTGTATTCCTTTTAGGGGCTGAAAGAGAACTAATAGCATATGCCAGGCCCTCAGTTTGCCATAGTAACCTTGCAAAGGAGGCATGCTATAGGTAAGAAAACTAAGGCTCAGACAGGTTAAATGATGAGCCTGGGGTTGCACAGCCATTAAGAAGTGAGTTCAGCTGTATTCTGTCTATTCTACCATGCTAAGTGTGCCGCCCTTCCTGGGGGTGGTGGGGTGTTTCATTTTGAGCCCAGCATCATGTTGAAATACACATGCAAGAAGTTCTCATGGGAACATTTCAGGCCACATGGAGAGAGGCAAAAAACAAAACATCAAAAAACATTCCGGGAAAAACACGAAAGTCTCACCTTCTACAGCAGCTCCTTGAAGGGTCAGGCTCTAAAAGTGCTTACATTTTTGTTAGCTGAAATGAGCTTTGGGAGGAGGGTTACTCTTGTGATTTTATACATGTCACAAACATCCCTATCTCCTGACAAGGGCCAGGAAACGTTGAGTAATGTGGGGTCCCAGGGAGCGTGGGGAGCAGGAGGGCCTCATATATCTCATGAGCAGGAGATGGCTATGTCTAGCTGGAGGCTGCAAGGAGCCGCCCGCCCTGCTGAGGACTGGACGAGGCCACTCCCTTCCAGCCAGACTTTTTGATTACACAAATCCATGAGTGTTAGTGTAGCAGATGTGGCTCTGGGCATGAAAACAGACAAACAGGATACACTAAGATGTTCCTGAGGGTTATTTTTGCAATGGTAGCATAACAGGGGAGTTTTGTTTTTGTTTTTTGGCCTCCTTTCTATTTTTCTGCTGTATTTTCATATTTTACATTGACTATATATTATTATGATAATCAGGAAAAATAATCTGTTAAAAAAGTAAGGAGAGAGAGTGTGCAGTGATCTGGAATCCAGGGCCAGCTGATTCCTCTGGCCAGCTATGCCTGGCTTGCAGTGCAGCCCTGAATTTCCTGGGAAACCAGAGAGGGGATGCATACCTGTCCACCCCTTCACGAGGGAGCCAGGAAGACACAGCAATGACTGGGGCTAAAAAAGGGTCTCGGGAGACACAAAGCCCTGTGTAAGTGTCAGGACTGGTTCCTATTGTCTTCATGGCGTTTTATAAATCACAATCCAAATATACTTCCCACGTAGACCATCCAGAAGGCCCCTGTTCATTCTGCAAGCCCGAGGAAGGGGCGCTCACAGGCTGAACTCCCAATGTGTGATTTGGGGCTCCAGCTCTGGAGCCAGCTGCAGGAACTCGGTTTCCAGTCCTGCCATATACTTGCTGTGTGTGCTTGGGTACATTACTCTCCCTCTCTGAGTCTCAGTTCCTCATCAGTAGAATGGGGCCCATCTTAAAAGGTTATGGTGAGCCGTCAGTGCATTATTACATAAAAAGCTCAGGGGAGGGGATCCACAACCTTGTCGTTATTATTATTATTATTTTTGAGATATGGTCTCACTATGTTGTCCATGCTGGTCTCAAACTCCTGGGTTCAAGGAATCCTTCAATTTCAGCCTCCCAAGTAGCTGGAACTAGAGATGCCTGCCACTGCCCCTGGCTGTGCTTACTATTTTCTTTGAGTTGTATTGTAACCTAGCATTTAAGAGCATGGACACCCGGTTTCAAAGCCTGGCTCTATTAGTCAATTGCTCTGTGATCTTGGGCCAGTTCTCTAACTTCCCTGTGTCTTAGAATCCTCAGCTCTAAAACAAGGCTAATGATAGTCTTTACTTCTATCAGGTAAATGTGAGGAGTAAATAAGTTAATACATTTAAAGCCCTTACCCCAGGCCCAGCAGAAAGGTCAGGACTCCATGGTGCTGTTATAATGATGACATCAGGTTGAATCCTCACAAAGTTCTTCATTGTATTGTGTATATTATAGATGAGAAAACTGACACATGGAAGTCAAGGCCTTTGGATGGAAGCCTTGCTTTTGTCTTGGGGCCAGCAGAGCCTGGAGGTTTAAGCTCAAGGGCACCCCAAACTGACCAGTGAAGTAGGAGGTGCAGTTCTACCTCTGAGCTGATCATCCACGGGTTTCTCTCCCTAGCATGCCATTTCCGAGCGTATAGACCGTTTTCCTCACATCCTCCACGTGTGGCTCTCACTTCCGTTTCCATGCATGCACCATCGGCCTTCTGAGCAGCTTTCCATTCAGGTGTCTTAAGCAATAGCATCCTGATCTCCTGTTATTTCTCCATCTCTAGTGCCATTCTTTGCTCCATTTTCTTTCTTTTTCTTTTGAGATGGAGTCTCACTCTGTCACCCAGGCTGGAGTGCAGTGGTGTGATCTTGACTCACTGCAACCTCTGCCTTCTGGGTTCAAGCAATTCTCCTGCCTCAGCCTCCCTAGTAGTTGCGATTACAGGGATGCATCACCACACCTGGTTAATTTTTGTATTTTTAGTAGAGATGGGATTTCACCATGTTGGTCAGGCTGGTCTTGAACTCCTGACCTCAGATGGTCCATCTGCCTCAGCCTCCCAAAGTGCTGGGATTATAGGTGTGAGCCATCATCCCAGCACTTGCTGGCCCTTGCTGCATCTTCTAATGAGCCAGCCTGGTCTCTGAGCTTGGGTTCAAAGCCCAGATCACATATTTTTAATTTTTATTTTATTTTTTTATATCTTCCTGCCCAGACAGCCAACTCAGGTATTTAATAGCTGTGTGACCTTGGGCAGGTTCCTTAGCCCCTCTGTGTCTTAGTCACCTCATATGTAAGAAAGAGATAGGAATACTACCAGCCTCATAGTGTTACTGAAAGAATGAAATTAATTAATGCATGAGAACCCATAGTAAGCGCTGTAAAAATGCTGAGTGTTGTTATTATTTTTATAGATGAAATTACAGTTCAGTAGCTGGTGTTTTCCCAAGCCCAAGAAGACGCAAGTAGAGAGATCTCAACACTGGTACCAGATCCCCCAAAGGCAGGTCTCCTGCCAGTGTGCCCATCCTCTGTTATGCACCTCTTCCGGGGCCAGAGGGTGTTCCACAGCCAGACACTGTGGTCAGAGTATGAATCACTTCATGACTCCTGCCTCAACTTTTCCAGCCACAGTTGGGCCAGGAATATGGGATTGGAGTCCCAGAGTGAAGGGCAGAGGACCAGAGGGGGACCATCCCATGCTGAGTGAGGATGGAATTCAGGCCTTGGGACCCCATTTCCACCCCAATCTTCCCAAAAGCAATCAGAGGAGCAAAAGGAGTCCCGAGGGAGGATTGGGGGTAGACATGGGGCCACTTCCCGTGACACAGGCCGGGGAGGCTGCACCAGCTGGAGGCGGCACTTGAACACGGTTCAAGTGGAAACAGCGGGGGCTTAGGGCTGGTAATGTTCCGTGATCACAGGCTCCCAAGGCTGCTAAGGCAGAGCTGGCCCAGGCTGGAGAATCCACTCAGAGAAGGAGAGTCTTGGCTCAGCTGTGTCCAGGCTCCTGCGGTAGGGAAGTGGGAAATCAGAAAAGGGAACAGTCAGGAGACAGAAGGGCGGGGGAGAGGAGGCTGTGCTAATGAATTCCACCACTGGGTATTGAACGCCTCTCCGATGCCAGCCCTGTGCTGGTGAGTCCTGGGAACACAGCTGCAGATCCTCGGCACCCTCAGTTTAGCAGGGGAAGCAGGTGATCTTCAAAAGGCAGTCTTGCTTCCAGGTGATGGACACTGTGGCTGAGGAGTGACCTTCTGTGAGTGCTTGCAGGGGCTGGGGCAGGGGTTTCCCCAGGCCACCAGCCCAGGCAGGGTTCTAGGAGGGGAGGATTTAGATTGTATTTTAAAGGAGGGTATGTTTTCCACATTCAAAGGAAGCCAGCAAAAGTATTTTTCACTAGAAGTGATCTCAAATGATGTTCTTGATTTTATATTTCAAAAGCTGGTGTGGCCTCTGGAGGTCACATTTAGTCTTGTTTATTTGATCAGCTTGCAAGTGGAATTAGCTGCACTGTGAACAGTACACTCGCACTCAGCATGGGTGTGATTTCAGCACCGGGGGGAACTACAGGTGACCCTGCCCATAGGGTTCTTGGCTGCGGGGAAGGTGGTCGTGAAATTGATGTTTAGGGTGGAAGAGGGGAGATGCTGGGAGACACAAAAGAGGGTTCAGTGAGTCAGGCAGGGTCCAGTCAAGCTCTGTGGGGGCCTAATCAGGGGAGTGCTGGTGAAAGTTTGACAACGTTCTTGGCTGGAGGCACAGGAGAGGCAGGATGGCAGAGGAGAGAGAGGAAAGCCTTGATTTATAGCATTTGCCATGATGTAAATATTCTCAATTTCAAGCTACCAACTTAACATCACTGAACGCAGAGTTGGTTAATTCCATGACCATTTGTTTTATGCCTCCCAGATGCCATATGATTGGCCCTCAGCCTACCACTGGCTTTGAACCTTCCTGCCACCAGTTGCTGAGGCCAGAATTCCCACTGTTGGAGCCTCAGCCTTCAAATTCAAGTTTGGTCCATTTTGAAAGGGAGTGTGTGGGGGAAGGGGTCACCATTTCCACCTCATGTTGTGAGGGCCATCCAATGCCCGGCCCACCATTTGCTAATCCGAGGCTGTAAACAATTGGGCTTCACCTCTCCACACCTGTTTCTTCATCTGGAAAGTGAAGATTATAATCGCTTTGCTTCCCAGGACTATGGTGAAGATAAGGTGAGAAAATTACATGTGAGCATTCAACTCGTAGAAGGAACCCAACTAACATGGCTGCCTCCTCATCACAATATCCTTCCTCTCGTTGCCTCAACTGTGACTTCCCTGAAAGACCTAAGGGAGGTGAGCCCTGCATATCTCCCAATGAGGGGAAGATCCTGGGCAACCAACCAAGACTCAATCACATCTTTCTTTTTTTTTGACACCAAATTTCACTCTTGTTGCCCAGGCTGGAGTGCAATGGTGCAGTCTCAGTTCACTGCAACCTCCAACTCCTGGGTTCAAGTGATTCTCCTGCCTCAGCCTCCCAACTAGCTGGATTATAGGTGTGCGCCACCATGCCTGGCTAATTTTTGTATTTTTAGTAGAGATGGGTTTCACCATGTTGAACAGGCTGGTCTTGAACTCCTGACCTCAGGTGATCCACCCTCCCAAAGTGGTGGAATTATAAGCATGAGCCACCGTGCCTGGCCTTCAATCATACCTTTCTCAGTGAACCCTTTTTGTAACTGCTGGGTAGGGCAGAACAGAGGCCAAGGATGAGGTGGGACCAGGGACAAGACACCATGTGCCTAGAGTCTGAAGACCTGGATTTCAGATGCAACTTGGCTAGTGACTTCCTGTGTGACCCTGGTAAAGTCGCTTTGCTCCTGAGTTAAATGGGGCTGACAGTTCCTTCCTGATTTGCCTTACAAGGCTACTGCAGTGCATCCGAAGGTGCCTGGCCAGCTGTAACGTGCATATGAGGGTGCTGACTGCTGTTGTCATTGTCGCTGGTATTATTGATGAAAGAGATAGGAGGGGATGGCTGTTCCAGAGATGAGGGAGACCTAGAAAAATTCCCAGAGTGAAAGATCAGGGGTAAAGACCTGATTGCTGTTGCCACTTTGTGATAAAATGCAATAAAAATGTCATTGGCCTTATTGATGAAAGTGATAGGAGGATTGTTGCTCCAGAGGTGGAGATGACGTTCTGAACAGATTCCCAGAGTGAAAGATCAGCAGGCTAAAGGCCTCGAGTTGGAAGCGGATAGAGTGTTCCACGTAGAGGGAGAACAAAGGCGGTCTGGACTAGCAGGGTCTGCTGACTCTGACCTCTGGCTTTGATTGAAACATTTGTCAGACTTCGTTGTTTGCTAAAACAAAAGTCAAGGCACTTTGAGAAATCAAGTCAAGATCAAGGTCCATGTCAGCAGCTCAGAAGAGCTGGTGTTTAACCAGTGTCAACTCCTGAGTAATAAGCCCTGATTAGACCTGAGTACACCCCTCACATCCTCCTTCTGCAGCAGCTCACAGGCTTCCAGCATGAGCCATATGCTAGGGGTGTCCTTACTGCTGCCCAGGAAGGAGGAGCTGAAGGCCAGGAGGGCCCCGGTGCAGAGAAGGGGACAGGAAGACCAGTAAAAAAAGGCACTGGGTAAAGTTCCTTAGGTTGATCAGAAACAGAAAAAGCCACTCAGGCTGAGCCCCTGGGATGGGGACAGGGCATGTGTGGTTTCCCTAGGATCTGGTCCAGTTGCCATTGGATAGGAGCCCAAGGGTGGGGCAGAGGCTCACAGAGTGGGAAGACTCAAGGGCTCCTGCAAGAGATGTTCTGCTCCAGCAGCACTGAATGCTTCCACCAGCCATGAGGTCATAGTACAACGGATACCATGGGTCAACTGGGAACCTGAGTCAACATTTCTTTCAAAGTCTACCTGAAAAAAAAAAGGTAACACTTTTATCAGAAAGGGCTAAGGAAAACATTTGTAATACATATGAAAAAAGCTAACATCTTCACTATTATAAGACCTCATAAAATGAGCAACCCACCCATTAAAACAATAAATAATTCATAGAAGAAATACAAGGGGGCATTGAACATATTAAAAAGTTCAAGCTCAGCCAGGCATGGTGGCTCACGCCTATAATCCCAGCACTTTGGGAGGCCGAGGCAGGCAGGTCACAAGGTCAAGGGATCAAGACCATCCTGGCCAACATGGTAAAACCCCGTCTCTACTAAAAAATACAAAAATTAGCTGTGCATGGTGGCGAGCACCTGTAGTCCCAGCTACTCTGGAAGCTGAGGCAGGAGAATTGCTTGAACCCAGGAGGTGGAGGTTGCAGTGAGCTGGGTTGTGCCACTGCAGTCCAGCCTGGCAACAGAGCGAGACTCCATCTCGGAAAAAAAAAAAAGTTCAGGTTCACAGGAGTCAAATATAAAAAAAAATAAAATCCAGAAGTATGGGGTAGAGCTGATTTGCATTTCTCAGTCTGTGGCCCGTGACTGTCAACAGTCTACAGTCCCCTCTTCAGTGGCTGTTCATAATTGCCTGCTTGAGCCACATACTCCTTTTTATCTCCTTCCTCTCTCCTCCTCGAGCCCCCTTACCCATTGGTGAATGCTCTTTGTTCAACATGAAGTCTCTCTCCTCTCTCCCTCCCCTTCTCCGGAACACGCTACAGGTTTGAAAATATTTCTTCATTCATCATATACTTGTATCACTGGTTTATGTGAAGCTCTCTTCAAAAAATTATTTTAAATAATTTAATAAAATTCTGGGATCTCACTGCCTCAGAGGACACTTGACTGTGGACAGTGACTCGTCCCATCTCATAGGTCCACCACCATCCCATGCCACTGGCTTCTCCTGCCCAGGCACCTGCCATCTTGAATTTGGTAGCTGTCATTCCTCTGCCTTCCTGTCATCTATTTGTACTCCTTTAAAGTATGTATTTTTTGTTTCATTTGTCTTACTTTCATGAAAAGAGTATCATGTACATATTTTTATGGGACTTGGAGATAAGTGGGCCGATTGAAAAGGAAAAACTCACAGGGTGGGGGCGAGGGTGATGAGGAAAGAATCTGCAAGGTATCCCATGTTTCAGCCTTAGGTGGCTGAGTAGTTGGTGGAATCATTCGGTTAGATGGGCCTAGGAAAGAAGAAAGGGGCTGGTGGGGAGATGAATAACTCAGTTCTGGGCAAAGCAATAATTTAAACTCACATTTATTGAATGTCTGCTATGCTCCGGTCACTTTTGTACAGCTTAAAGTGCTCTGCATGTATTATCACATTTAAGCATCACAAGAACCTCACAAGATAGGCACTGTTATTATTTTCATTTTAAAGATGAGGAAACTGAGAGGCGGAAAAGTTTAGTAGGTGCTGAGTCCATCAGCATGACGGATCACACCCTTTGCCGCAAACAGAAATACTGGATAAAATATTTAAAATATTAAATATTTGTCATTAAAAGTATTGATATAAAACTTGCTATTTACAAATAAAATACTTAAAAACTCTCAAAAAGCAAGGGAAATCCTCAGGTGACAGGAGTAAAGAAAACTCAAAGCCAGGGTGGATATACTGGACATTTATGGATAAAACAAGCCCCACTGAAGATAAGCTGTCATTAAAAAAATAATAATAAGCCACACATGAGGAAGGGTCAGGAGACACATTAAATAGGTGAATTGATATCCCTACAGAATAAAGAAGATTTGAAAGACACTGTAAGTTTTTTTAAAAAAAAATTATATAGGAGAAAAATGAAGAAACAAAATCATAAGGAAATAATTAAATGAGAACATCTAAAGGTTAGTCACTTATCCAACAGTAAATGTCCCAGAGTAAGTGGGATTTAGTTATAAGACAAAGGTGGCCAGGTATGGTGGCTCACACCTGTAATTCCAGCACTTTGGAAGGCTTAGGTGGGCGGATCACCAGAGGTCAAGAGTTCGAGACCAGCCTGACCAACATGGAGAAACCCTGTCTCTACTAAAAATACAAAATTAGCTGGGCATGGTGGTGCATGCCTGTAATCCCAGCTACTTGGGAGGCTGAGGCAGGAGAATTACTTGAACCAGGAGGTAGAGGTTGTCGTGAGCTGAGATCATGACATTGCACGCCAGTCTGGACAACAAAAGTAAAACTCTGTCTCAAAAAAAAAAGAAAGAAAGAAAAAAGACACAGGTGAGGGGATATCTGGGTGACATAACTATTAAGTGGTGCAGATGGCTCCCCAGGCTTGTGCTCTTACCGTTGGACTGCAGATGCTGATGTAGATTTGAAGAGTCTATTGGACATCCCAGGGCAGCAGCAAAAGTGGTTTTAGAGAAACGTAGAGAATGCTAGGTCTCACCATATTGTTCCCCCCACACCACTACAGGACATCGGGACTGGACATTTCCTCCCAACATGGCTGCCACTGCCTCTCCGCAGCGACTCACCACCAAGGATGCCGGCTCTGAGAACAGCAGCTTCTATTACTATGACTACCTGGATGAGGTGGCCTTCATGCTCTGCAGGAAGGATGCGGTGGTGTCCTTTGGCAAAATCTTCCTGCCAGTCTTCTATAGCCTGATTTTTGTGTTGGGCCTGAGCGGGAACCTCCTTCTTCTCATGCTTTTGCTCCGATATGTGCCTCGCAGGCGGATGGCTGAGATCTACCTGCTGAATCTGGCCATCTCAAATCTCCTGTTTGTGGTGACACTGCCCTTCTGGGGCATCTCCGTGGCCTGGCATTGGGTCTTTGGGAGTTTCTTGTGCAAGATGGTGAGCACTCTTTATGCTATTAACTTGTACAGTGGCATCTTTTTCATTGGCTGCATGAGCCTGGACAAGTACCTGGAGATCGTCCATGCTCAGCCCTTCCACAGGCTGAGGACCCGGGCCAAGAGCCTACTTCTTGTTACCATAGTATGGGCTGTGTCCCTGGCCATCTCTATCCCTGATATGGTCTTTGTACAGACACATGAAAATCCCAAGGGTGTGTGGAACTGCCACGCAGATTTCAGCGGGCATGGGACCATTTGGAAGCTCTTCCTCCGCCTCCAGCAGAACCTCCTAGGGTTTCTCCTTCCACTCCTTGCCATGATCTTCTTCTACTCCCGTATTGGTTGTGTCTTGGTCACGCTGAGTCCCCCAGGCCAGGGCCGGGCTCTAAAAATAGCTGTAGCCCTGGTGGTGGCCTTCTTTGTGCTATGGTTCCCATACAATGTCACCTTATTTCTGCATACACTATTGGACCTGCAAGTATTCGGGGACTGCAAGGTCAGCCAGCACCTAGACTATGCACTCCAGGTGACAGAGAGCATCGCCTTCCTTCATTGCTGCTTTTCCCCCATCCTGTACGCCTTCTCCAGTCGCCGCTTCCGCCAGTACCTGAAGACTTTCCTGACTGCTGTGCTTGGACGGCACCTGGCACCTGGCACTGTCCAGGCCTCATTGTCCAGCTGTCCTGAGAGCAGCAGTCTCACTGTCCAAGAAGAAATGACTGGCATGAATGACCTTGGGGAGAGGCAGATTGAGAACTTCCCTAACAAGGAGGATGTGGGGAATAAAGCAGCCTGAGTGTCCAAACCTCGGTCTGGTGGGAGCAGATGGGAAGCAGCTAATGTGAGCATCCACTGAAAGTGCTCTCTCCAGGGGCCTCAGTGACCATGTTGCTAAACCCAGTGGTCAATTCTCAGTTCTCAACCACCAGCAGCATTTGCTCACCCCTGCCTTCTTCCTCCACGACACCATACTTTGTTTTCTGAATTGCTGTAATATTCCCTCCCTCCCTCCCTCCCTTCCTTTCTCCCTTCCTCCCTTTTTCTCCCTCCCTCCCTTCCTCCCTTCCTTTCTCCCTCCCTCCCTCCCTTCCTCCCTCCCTCCCTTCCTTTCTCCCTTCCTCCCTTTTTCTCCCTCCCTCCC